TTAGATAATTGCATTTCTACTGCTACTGCACGGAAACAAAAATTCGTAACGGAATCCGTATTACAAGAAAAATAAATTATAAATTAGTTAATATTTTACTTAAATAATAACTGTATTTTAAACATTTGTTTTTGATTACAATGTTGAAATTTTGAATTTGGTTATTAAAGTTAAAATGTCAGAAAAATTCACTAAATTAGGTACTAATTAAAATAGTTTATAAAGTAAACTTTTTCTTAGGATAGCCGTGCCTGAAAAGGTTTCAAATAAATATAATATTTTATAATTAAATGCTTGGTTCTGTAAAGGTAGCACCTTTTAAGAAGTAAATGTTTCGAAGGCACCTCCAAATCCAAAAGTGATTGACGTTTGGCCCACGCACGAGGTGATTTTGGATTTTGGATTTGGTTCGCTTCGATTGCTGACAGCCATGCCATACAATACCTTGCGAAAGTCCACACTCCATCCATTCTAGCCGGCGGACGAGGACTTAACAGATCCTGGCATTGATGGCCGCTGAATGGACTCAGGACTCAAGACTCTTGACTGGGCGGCCAGAGGCAATTGTGTGATTGATGGACGCCCAGCTGGAGGGCGGCGATTGCTTGGTTAACTGAGTGACGTGGCAGCCGGCGAGTCTTTATCTGCGGAGGACACCCGATCCGTCTCGTTCGTCGGGCTTTAATCACTCCTCCACCGACTCACCCACTCACTCACTCACTAATTATGCCATCGCCACAGGCAAGTGGACTGGCTATTGCACCGCCGAAAACACAATGCACCACCGCTCAGAAACGATGTTTACATGCAATTACCGTTTCAGTGTTCCGCTGTCAACTCGAACGCCATTTGCCATTCGCCATTTGCCGTTTGCCATTGTTTATTACATGAAGCTCTCAGTTTTCAGGAGCCACGAATCCAGGTGGCTTGGATATCCAGGTGATCCTGGTGATTCAGGGCATTCGGGATTCGGGTGGTCGGTGGCATTCTTAATTGCATTGCTGCCGGCAATGTATCATCGCAGCAATTTCAGCTGCAGGAGCTGTTCGGCTAAAAATGTTCATCGCTAATGTCGCAAATGTTTACTGTTGGCTTATGACTCTCTGCTCCTGGCCAAAAACACGAAACAGCGAAAAATGGCAAGGGAAAAGGAAGTGGAAAAGGAGGTGGATGTAAAGGAAAGGTTAATTTAATTGTTACTTTTCTGCTTTCAAGTTCTCCTCGTTACTCGAAGCTTTAATTCGCATGTGAGTTTCATTGGAGTGGAAATATTTGTATTTTATAGAGGGTCCTTAGATGATATTTCTTTACCTGGTAATTATTATTTGGAAATGTAAATACCTTGGAATTCTACTTTATGATCCTCAGAAAATATTTATTTAGCAACTTTAATTAATAAAAATATTTATTGAAAATCCCAAAGAATGTAATTTAAACTGGAATGTATTTTTAACGCTTTAAATTAAATTCCCCTTAAACAAATTCCGTAAATTAAAATTTATTCAGAAACCCCTCGAGTCGTAACTAATTTATAATACGGTTAACAGATTCGATAAGTTAATTATAATGCGAAGATTTACATTGAAAGCGTGACTGACTTGCTAGACTGCTTGGCGGCAAAGAGTTGCTGCAAAAGGCATTTAAGTTCCAAGGGGCCAATGAATAATTCATTGCCACTCGTTGTCCTGGCCTACGCGTCGATGATTAAATCAAATCACTTCAACCCGTTGCCAATTTCTTCCCCAAAAAACACCCTCAAGGTCGCTGGAACCACCCACCAACACCCACACTCAATGGTCATTCTTATCGGGGGAATTGTGCAAATGATGCCCACGGGCCAAATTACCAAAGCATTCGGCAGCCTGGCAACTGTCAGCGATTCGAAGGGGTTAATTGTGGCGCAACCCGCTTAATTCACTGAAATTTTGTTGTTTTCTTACTTTGTTACTTTGCTATTTGGTTAAGGTCCAAGAACGCGGGGGGAAAGTCAATTCCCGCTTCCTATTCGCAGTTCGTTGCCTTGAGAGGAAACAAACAAACTTCCAACTGACTGGAGAAGCAGTAACCGAAAAGGTCCGAGAAGGTCAAAGGTTGTGCCGTGGAAAAACAAAGAAATAAATAGCAGTCACTATAAGGACATTTATTGGGCTCCCGAAACGAATTTAAGCTTTTTTGATTAAATCACAGCTTTTGGCTATCAAAACTCTACAAGGACACCTCAGTTTTTTGGATCTGTATTTTCCGCATTCGCAACGCATGCATGGGCCAGAAATTGAATGGACATTTTCATTCGGCAGCATTCTGGCCATTTCGCTTTGATTTGGATTTCCATTTTGGTGCATTGGCCATTTGCTTTTAATAAAAATTCATCAAAACTGGAAAAGGGAAGAGGGAAAAGGGGCAGCTATACGGAATACGAATCATGTGCGCCAGAAGTCATAAAAAGGGGTGAAACAATGGCGAGCGTGCAACCGGAAACGGAAGTCGACGCAGACAAACACCAGATACGAGAGGGCGCCATCACAGAAAGGGAGAAAAAAGGAAAGGATTCAAGGCTCAAATGGAACACAAGTCAGCAGAAGGAGAAGATGACAGCAGAAATAAGCCCTTTTCCTTCTCAGTTTTCTCAGATGATTTTTAAATAAGCAGGACTGGCACACAGAGTACACATACCTCTGTATTTTTATGGCATTCCAATTTGAGCGGAGAAACAGAGGAGCATATCCTTTCGGCCAAGGACTAATAGGCAGAAAGCCTTGACAGCACGTCCTGGTTGGGGAAATGTGCTGCTCCTCCAGCGAAATGGCAGCGGCCATAAACGAAAATGTGTAAAAAGCTTAAGCGGCACTAAAAGATTCTCCTTTTCACCCATTCCCCCCACTATCTGCCACCCAAAAAACAGCGAATAGGTGCATAATGGCCGCCTGACACTGTGGGCAGATGTCAACATGTGCTTTTATTATCAGAGAGTGCTCTTGCAACCCCGTTTTGGCGACCTTCCCCCTTCCACTTTCCACGTGGCATTGCGGCCACGTGGCAGGACTCGAAATGCAACTTAATTAAGAGCCGAAAAAGCAGGGGCAAAGGAAACTGCAGCTGGCATCTGCGGCGGTTAATGCCGGACGGCCATAAATCTGCCGAAATGCACTGCAAGCAGCCAGGATCTGGAAAACTTAAAGCGGAAAACTGGGAAAAGAGAGCACCGAGGCTATATAAATATACGACTGCGACTTCTGGCAAGCGATAGCCAAGCGAATGGCGACTTTTATGACCCCCAGCGAAGCGAGTGAATTAAATGCGAGGTAATTACATATTATAAATGTGTTTAGTTCGCCGATAGTTTTCCGCCAAAGAAAGCCAGTTGTCACAATGTATTTCCCAGGCACATGAAATCACACTGCCGAAAAATTGGCATCACTTTTATTCTGATCATAAACTGAAAGATCTTTAAAAGTACGACTTTTAGCCAATTTTCTTGCATCCAAACTACAATCACAAAAAATAGGTACCTATTTTGTAATATCAACTGAAGAGATATAGCACAATTACTAAGTGACCGATGTAATAATTTATAAGACCTACACAGAGAAAAAACACTAAAAGTGATATCAAATATGGGACGCTCCATATCAACCCGGCCACCCCCCTTTTTTTTAAATTTTCTATGTGGAAAGTACCACATTGATTGCAAAGCCCTTTGCTTCCAATATTTTACCCCATACCCATTTTTTCAATGTTACCACTCTTTCGCCGTATAATCGCGTAAAAAAGAAAACACAAAATCATTTTTATCCTGCGAACGAAAGAAACAATTGGCATGGTTCAAAATCAGAAAAACCTGTCTTTCCATAGCCGGTTACGAGAAAAATAATAGATTTTATTAGACCGTAGATGACCAAGCGATAGCGTTTTTAAAGTCTAAAAGTAGGATTTCGTCCAAAGGGCCAGTCTGCAAAAATACCATTATATTTTTCTCAGAAAGCCCCATATTTAACGGATTTTATGCCACTGATTTCAAAGTGGGATCTCTCATGAGGAATTAGCTATGAATTCTTTTTTACGTTTTTGTAGTAGTTAACTGTCAGATAATGCTAATAAGTAATATAAAATAATCGTATATGCTTTGGAAAAAATTAACAAATCAATGAAAAGAATTCATAGCTAATTCCTCAAGAGAGATCCCACTTTGAAACCAGTGGCATAAAATCCGTTAAAACTCGGGCCTTTTGAGAAAAATATAATGGTATTTTTGCAGACTGGCCCTTTAGACGAAATCCTACTTTTAGACTTTAAAAAACGCTATCGTTTGGTCATCTACGGTCTTAAAAAATCTATTATTTTTCTCGTAATCGGCCATCGAAAGACAGATTTTTCTGCTTTTGAACTATGCTGATTGTGCCTTTCGTTCGCAGGTTAAAAATGATTTTGTGTTTTCCTTTCAGCGCGAATATACGGCGAAAGAGTGGTAACATTGAAAAAATGGGTATGAGGTAAAATATTGGAAGCAAGGGGCTTTGCAATCAATGTGGTACTGTCCACATACAAAAAAAATCAAAAAAGGGGGTGGCCGGGTTGATATGGAACGTCCCATATATTCTGTAATATAAAATTCAAACCAAACATTTTATTGTTATCACAATAAACAAATAGGATTTTAATCTTGTTTTTAACATTTTTAAAATATTTTCATTTGAACAGGAATATGTTTTAAAATTTGTAAATAATGTTTCAAACAGAATTAATATTAAAAAAAAATTTATTCCACAATTTAAAAAAAAAATGTAAGATAAGCTGATAAGAATTGTTTTAAAGTATTAATATAATTAATTAAATTATATTTAATGTAACTTTCATTTGTAGTTCAAATGCAGAATAACGACGCATTTAAAAGAAAATTTAACAAATTACAGAACTTTTGGTTATTAATCGTTTATAATGTCGGTAAATTTCGAAACACCATTGCATTTTAGGGAATTAAGTTCTGGCCATCCTGTTACCCATTACTTTGCGTTCTCTAGGCAATCGCAGACGGCCTTGACGAACTCGGAGCACTTGGCCTTGCCGCCCACATCCGGTGTGCGAATATCGCTGTCCCTATAGACGGTGCGCACCGCGCACTCCAGCTGATCCGCCTGCTTGTCCATCTTGAGGTGGTGCAGCATCAGGGCGGCGCAGAGCAGCGGCCCCGTTGGATTGGCCAGATCCTTGCCCTCGAGGGCGTGGCACGCCTTCATCCGCGAGTCGAAAACGGTGCCTAAAGAACTAACCGAGTATCCTGGACAAATACCGGGCACTCCCACCATTCCGCCCGTTATCACCCGCATCACATCGCCGTACATACTCGACGAGACCATCACATCGCACTTGTGAGGTTTTAGAAGGATGTTCAGGATGCAGGTGTCCAGGTACTTCTCCTCGAACTGAATCTTCTCGGCATGCTTCTCGGCCTCCGCGTGCATGGCCTCCAGGAAATTCCCGTCCGTCATCCGCATGATGTTCGCCTTGTGGGCCACCGTGATCTTCTTCCTATTGTGCTTCAGTGCATAGTCAAATACGAACTGGGCAATCCTGGCTGCCCCCGCCGTGGTGCTCACCTTGATGGTCTGCATTACCCCGGGAACCACAGAGTGCTCGATTCCCGAGTAGTCCCCCTCCATCTGATCCCGGATGATCACCACATCGAAGTCCCCGTAGGGCGAGTCCAAACCCTCTATATTAGAGCACAGCGAAACGTAGGCGAACTGGGCGAACTGCTTCCTGATCTGCCGCTGCCAGTGGCGACTGTCCACGGGTCCCTTGATGCCCACCTTGTTGGCGCGCAGCGAGTCCAGAATCTCCTTGGAAACATCCTCGCTGTCCGGGGCCAGGTACTCCTCGTGGATGTCCCACTCAATGGGCGCCTTCACGGCACAAATCACCTGCTGCACGGCACTCATCATCTCGGCACCCACGCCCTCGCCATTGATCATGGTCACCTTAGTCGTCTTCTTGCTAGGATCAACCGGTTTTTGGGGATTCTCCTTACCCTTGGGCTTCTCCTGGGGTTTCGCCTTCTGATCCTTGGCCGAATAAAGTCGATAAGAGTTGCCACCCATCAAGATGTTCATTTCCCGTAAGACGTTCATTTTCCTCAAGGTGTTCATTTTGTGCCAGGTGTTCATTTTTGAATTTTTTTTTGGCCCGAATTAAGAGTTTTGAATGGAAAGGACTTGTTTGCTACGAAAACCTCTTGGCCGCCAATTGATTTGGCAGCCTTTCAATTGCCTGCTCATAAATTCCCGCGAAATATGTCTTGGCAGCACATCCAACTAGGTCGCCAGGGGTATTTTTTTGAAGACCAGCCGGGCTGCTTTAATGTGAAATCCAGGTGAAATCCTCCGCCTGCGGCTGTGTAAATGTGACAAATGGCTTGTCAACGGCCCAAAAACCAAATGGCGACTGCTGGCGACAGACAAATGTCCGAAACGCCCCTCGAACCGCCTCCGTTCCGCCCAAGGGGGCGTGGCAATTATGATACCAGCAGCAGCAGTGATTTTTCAAAGCGGTGGGCGTGCGTAAAAAGCACACCATTAAAATCGACGACCATTAAGCGCAGACCACAGGGAAGCGTTATAAATATTCAGTAATTATTTCGCCCCCGGCTGATTACAATTTAAGAATTATAAATGAGGTTTATTTCGCCATGATTTTCAGCAGACTGGTAATCAGCGAAAACAATGCATCAAGGTTTTACGACAACTCTGGATTCACTTTTACGAGCCAGCGAGGCAGTGAATCCTTCAAGGATACAGCATAGTATCTCAGAGATATCGAACAAGAATTGCAATTCCCTCGAATGTTTGTTTGTCATCTTGGTGCCGTGCTTTTTAGCATCATATTTTATCGCGTATGGCCTCTATATTGACAACTTCCTGCCCATAAAAACCAACAGAGTGCACTTCGCCAACAAAGTCGGTCCACATCGAATGGCCAAAACTTAGGAAAGTTGGTGTAAACATTGGCCAAGAACAAACTTACAATGTGTGAACCGAAACTATTATTAACCCCGTTCATTGTTCACTGTTCAGCAAATTGAAAGTTAAATCGAGGCGACGGTGATGGGGGTAGGCTGTGGGAGGACCGGAGGACAAAGGCCTTGAAAGGTGACTTTCTGATTGGCACATTCAATTCAAGGACCTGTCTAAGTGTCAGTCTCTTTGTCTCGATTTTATTGATATTCACAAGACCATTTAGGATTCCTTCAAATCGTATGTATCAATTCGGATGAGGTTTATTTTCTTAATTTAAGGAAGTTCGTATCCATAATATGGATTTAAGAATAGTTGGTACATCTTTTCCCTTCCGCTTTGGTTCTTTCTTTCGACTATAGAGAATTTTTTTAAACAATTTTAACTGTAAATAATTAGATTATATAAATATCAATTAGAACCTATGATTTTAAATTTAATTTTTTCTTTGGTGTTAGATTTTTATTTAAATTCCATTGTACAACTGAGTTAAAATTTTGAAAAGTGCATTGTAAAAGTATCTAAAAGCAACCTTCAATGAGTCCCAGGAGCTCATCTAAGTGCCTGCACTTAGAAAGCGTTTAAGGACGTGGCAGATAATACAAGAATAATACAAGTCGTTTGGCTGAAAGGGGAAAACAATATAAATGCATGGCTTATTTACAAGTTGTGTGTTCTCTCGAGTGCATACATAATTCCAGCCAGTGAGTTCTACATACCTACATATACATACACGAACGGATGCATTTGACGAAGGACGAAGGAGGAAAACCCCGTTAAGTGAATTACTTTTAAGCAACTGCAAACTCATTGAAATCCACAGCGGGGAACTCACACATGTAAGCTGATCTGCGGTTTAACGGTGAAAGCTTTCCCTTTTAACGTCAAAGGAAGCGCTTTCATATAGTTAGTTAGTCGAGTGCAGATGATAAAGCTTCTTATCAAGGTTACTGGGCTAAATGCTGGAATGAGCAGTTATGATCCGTTGATTTTCATTAGTCCCGCTCCGAGCTCATGAATAATGCAAGCCCAGTTTATCATTTCTATGGGCTACATGTTGATTTAAGGGCTTGCCCTCTGGCCAAAACAACTCTTGCCAAAAAAAAAGCAGGCAAAAAGAGAGGTTTTCACACCCAAAGCAACGGACGGACAGATTTGGTTGTTTATGTAGTCAGGGGACGTGCAACCCTTTTGTCAATGAGAGTTGGAAATTTAAGACGGGACCCAGAAAAAGGAAAAGAAAAATCGGAGAAAAATACTGTTGCATATTTGATTGTCTCGGTCAATATTTACATATTCGGACTCGTCAGTTTCGCTTTTCTTCCCCGCCTTCCGAGGGCTTACGCTTCGTTTGTTCTGGCCTCATCCTCATGAAATCCTCTTCGAATCCCTTCAAGAGTCAAGCTATCGACTCTCCAAGGCGAGTTGCCCCTGGTTACCCATCGGCAGATCCGGTGCCATCCGGCTGAAATCAGAATTTGCATTTCTATTGTTGCCCTTTGTTTCTTCTGCATCTCATAGAAGTGCGGTTGCCCAGGTAAAAGCGTGTGAATCCTGGCACCTGTTTTGCCCAGCAATTGGAGTCCGTTGCACAGGAACACAAAAAATGGCTATAAACGGAAACGCAATTTTCGACACGCACCTGATAGCCCAACACAGGTGGAAAAAATATGAAGATATCTAATTGATATTTATACAAAAGAAGAATTTTGACCAATTGACTCTCATTTCAAAAATATTTGTAAGTCGAAAAAGAGTCAAAATGTCGTAGTTTCGTCTGACTAAAAATTACTTTAAAATCGAAAAAGAGAACCAAAAATCAAGATGGCGTTTGGAAATTACTTTTAAATCGACGAAGAGAACAAAAGTCCAGATGGCCACTTTTCGAAATCAAAAAAAGAGATGGCCACCTTTTAAAAATACCTCCCAATCAAAAATAGATGCGAGTAAAAGCTAGAAAAAACATATTCACGGTATTTCGAACATGATATTCTCGAAATAAATCGATGCAAATTTCATAAAATCGATTTAATTTTCTTTTTACCATTTTTATCGGTGCAGGATCAAGTGAAACGATGGCTATAACTGGGCTTACTCTCGCCAACACTCGATTATTTATGGCTGGCAAAAGAATAATCAAAACCTAAAGCAGAAAGCTTTTTGTGGGTCACCTGTGAAATAATAATTGAGCATTTGAGTGCCAAACATGTCCAATTCGTATTTATTTATGGCGCTGGCTTGGCATTAATTACAACCTACTATTTGCACAGCAAAAAAAAACATGTTATGTGTGCAAATAAAAATGAAAACCATTAAAGTGTGTACTTTTAATAAAAATTGATGAGCGGAATGAGCAAACAGAGAGTTTAAATACCAGGCGGTTATGATTTAAGGCCACTACTTACAAAGCAATACAGTTTAGGAAATTCCATAAACTGTTTAGCTGCCGAAGAATTCGATGATTAATTGCTGACTTAATTGCAAAGTGTCTGCCCGACCGAGTAAATCAATTATAGGGTGATTAAAAATATTTATCACAAGCCTCGTTTGCGGTGGGCCACATCATTTACATGCCAATCACCTCATAATATTGAGTCACTTTGCGGCTGGCCACAGAAACGCTCGAATTCGCAAGTTGGAGATTGCACACAAGTATCTCCTGGGATTTGCAAAATCTTATATCGATTTGCCCAGCGACTCAATTAAATAAACATTTTTAATCAAGCCGAGAGTTGCGTGCAGACAAATATTTGCCAATGCCATTGGATTGATTAGCATGTTCGCAAATAAATAAATTGTAGGCAAGTAAACAGATATTTGACAGCTCTCTGAAATGGAATCGAATGGAAATAGTGTTTAGAGCAGTTTGAATAATTGCCGAAACTGAAAGGCCAACTAAACTGCAGCTGTCAGAGAAGGCCTACTATTAAATTTCCTTTTCTCTGGCTGTGCTAAATAATTGCAATTAAAATGCACAAAAGCCGCAGGAGCCCAGTCCATATATAAATATATATAATACTTTGACAGTATTCCAGTCACAGTATTGAGAATATTTTTGCACGCAATGCGGTTTGTTTATGCGTTTGCCGAAGCGTAAAAAGTCGCACAATGTGACAGTTAAATATTGTGGGATATATGTATATTTTTACGGTCCCCATGCACGTTCCATCCACGGGCGGCAATAACACAGAAACAAAAAGTTAATTAAGTTCTTAAAGAACTGCTCTTTTTGCAGCCATTTCTCTGGTCCTTTCTCGTCCTCGTTCTGCTCCGCGTTCTGTGTGCCTTGCATATCTCAGCGAAAACGATGGCAGTACGTGGAAATGGACGAGGACGAGGATGAGGACCTCGCAGCACCAGGATATCTCACGCCGGAGGTGCGCAGCTCAGCTCACATAAATTGATTCCATACAAAACCGTATAATTCATTCTCGTTTCGTTTGCACCTCGATACCCGGCTGCATTGTCCATCGGAGGACGATGAGGATGTGGAGCGGGAGGTCCAGGAGGCGGAAGTGGAAGCCCGGCTACTGGGTCTTAACCCACCGGATTACCATCGCATCCGCACTCAACCCGGACAATATAATAAATCATGCAGCCCAACGGGGCCAAAAGTGTCCCGGCAAATCAACTTTATTTCGGCAATTGTGATGGGAACGCTTTATAAAATAAAAGCTTCAAACAAATATTTCTTAAGGTCTTTAAAAATTGAGGAACATTTTAAATCTGCGCCTTTTAGATTTGGATTAATTTTTGAACAAGTTACAGCAAAAAAACCTTAAAAATAATATTTTAATCAAAAATCAATATTTATGACAATTTTAATTTAATTTTTTTATGACTCTTAAAGTTTAATTGAACATATTTCCAAGTGAGCACCTCCCTGCTATTAAACCTAAGTAGTTCTCTATGCGATGGACTCTTTTAAACATTATCAAAGTTCACTGCTTTACGGGCTCTCTCATTCTGCACTTTCGTACCACACTTCCGGCATTTGTTGACTTAAGACCCTGCCCTCCAGCTAATTAGTTTACTAACCATTAACACCACACCGGTGTCGTTGCCACTCGGCAAATCCCCCTTTTGGCAGGTTTTCAGATCCCGGAGACCTCGGAATTCCGCTCACGTAAGAGTTGCCGTCGCGACTTTGGCGCCGAGTCAATTTATATCAAGTGCGAGAAACGGTCAAAAGCCGT